AATAAAAGTCTACAACTTCTCAGATATAGAGGAAAGTTTATTTATATGTAAAAAAGTACACCTCAGGAATTCTTTTCTAAAAGCTGATTTTTAAGTAAGTTTCAAAATGAAAAGGTTGAACAGGGCACTGTGGAGTCACAGTTAAATGATTTTTTAAGCTGTAAAAAATATACCTCTTCTGTAACAGGAAATTTGTGACTTTCAGTGACCTTTAGTAACTGTATACTCAAATAAAATCTCACAATGACATCAAATAATATTCTGAATAAGAAGGCCTGGCTTTAATGACTCCATGGGTATTATCTCAAATCACTTCCCTTCATGTTAATTCTTCCTATAGGCATAACTCAACAGAAAATTCTCTTTCTAATAATACCCATCATTACCATGACAGAAGTGAAAAGAGAAGTGATCAGGGCTCTTGTAAATAGTTTAGTAGCTGTCTCCTGCAATTATACACTTTTGAATAATAATATTAACATTATCTACCCTACTTAAGAAACAAAGTGCCTTGTTTTGGAATCAAATTTATATAATAACCAAATATATTTTGAAGTATTTAAGCCTCAATACTAAGTAAATCTCAACCTCACTTCTAAAAAAAAATTCAAAAACCACTAAATGTTCAAGTGATAAATGTAAAATGGTTACTATATTCAAATAAAATTAAACTTTCTTAGTAAGACCATGATCCCTCACTCACTTTCTGTTGAGAGCAGAGCTTAATTTACAGTGTCTCACCCAATACAAGGCCTTATTTGATAAAACAGTCATACAACTCCTTCTCAGTTTTTATCCTCTTCTCATCACCCCTATGTATTCCAGACTCAATAAATTTAGCATTTCTTTACCAGTAATACAGTTACAATCTGAAGCATTTAAATAAAAGTTGGAATAAAGTCACATAATTTTAGGCACAATAAACTTTAATGTCACCTTCAATAGTAAAGAAGATTAGTACCTGCTTTGTTTTTTGAACTTAGTATTCTTTTTTCTTCTTCACTTTTTTTTTTAAAGATTTATTTATTCATACAGAACTGGGGTATAGGCCAGAGATGCGGACAGAGGGTGAGAGGATTCACCAGTGACAG